GTATCTTTAAAATTGCACAAATTGTACAAAACTTTATTGCTATAACAATGAATTGTATACAACTGGATAAAGATCCTTAGATTGTCTTTTATTAACAGTTTAAAACAGCAATGTGTGTTTATGTTAACGAATATCAAATGATAAAATTGTTAATAAACAACTTGATAAGGATCTAATAAAGTGTCTAAATTTTTGTCTTCTGCCTTTGAGTACTTTTAAAAGTCAGTAGGTTTCCTTTTATATGTGCATTTACAATAGCATTTCAGTCGTTTATCTATTTTATTTATTGATTGTAATCATAGCAACTTGGCGGGAAATTTTTTATTTACATCGTCACATCTCAAGGATTATTTTAGGGCTCTGAAAAATTGGTTAAATTTTAACCTTTCTGAACTAGTCAATGGTAGCCTTGCTCTGCTGACTATTCAAAGGTGGTGTCCCTATGTGTTCCTAAAGATGCATGACATGTGCTTTTTTAATTGAGGTTACACCTGTTGTGTTCAAGTGTGTTATTTGTCGCCATCACTAGTATCCCTTGGCCTAAGGTTTTGATAATTACTTGCAACTAGCCACCGAACACATCCTGTTCCTGCTCCATGGCACTCCGATCTCCTTTTCTCTTTCATCCTTGTCCATGTCTTTTAAATGAATACTTTCTTAAGATTTTCTTGAGTTTCCAAAATGGTCCTTACTTAACTGTTTGCTTTGCGACGTTTCGTCTTAGCTTTATCCTTGTGCCCTCTCCTACGTTTGTACGATGTATTGCTTGATTCCTAGTCGGCGGTTCTTTGTTGCCAGAGATTTTATGCGTTCATAAGGTGCCGTTTGATTTTGTCTATATATGTTCTGATAATTGTCAAGACAAAATGAAATAGTGAATATTGTGTTACAGTTTCAAAAGCACCAAAATGTAAATTGTGTTTAAGTAACCTTATATTTTTTAACAAAAACCTTCTTAAAGCCCTCTTGTTGCAGGTTTTACTGTTACAAATACGCACTCAAATGTCGTAATTTATTGTTTGGTTTTATTAACCTGTCAATTACATACTGATTACACGGTCGATGCACACAGTATATTAATCTTCGGTAGATGTTCGGTAAGTTCCGTGAGATGTAAGCTGTACGATAGAATTTAATTTAATTTGTATCTCTAAACTAAGTGTACTCAGCGTTATAGCGCAATAGGGTAAATCATGAGTTTATAATCTAAGTGCCACACGTGTATTAAGTTCGAGGCCGCGTTGGTCCATGTTTTTTTCTTATCATAACTTTCAACAGTATTGAATCTATATATGATTATTTTATGTTGTTCGTTTTTTATTATGTTGAACTTAATTTTGTAATGTATATACTCTATTTAAATAACATGTTTTTTTTTAAGAATTCATGTTTAAAAAAAAAAACGGATTAAAATCAATAAACGTCTTTTCAATGCCGTAAATCACACTACAAATCTGTTCCATTAAAATACTGCAAAAATAAAGAAAGAGTACTAAAACAATGGCGATAGTAAGGTTCGAACCACAGACCTCTCAATTATCAGGCATTCTCTTTACCGACTGTCCTATTGTGAATTAACGAAAACTTTCACATTAAGCTGGCGTGACTTTCAATCCATGACTAATATACTCCACATTTATTCTCGTAAACTACACGGACCAAACCGAAGTGGGATCGAATATTTAAACGAGTCCTATAATGTATTCATAATTGACAGGTCAATAAAATCAGACTATACTTGTGGCATAGTGGTATATTTAAGTATGTTATGTTTTTTATTGTCAAAATATAACTTCTTAGTATTTTCTGTATGATCAACATTGTAAATGTTTTTTGATACCGTGCGTAGTTTGATAAGAAGAGATGTCTTTATTTATTTATTATTATTGTCATTACCGTTATTATTATTATACTACCGACTTTTTCAGTGTAATAAATCTGCATTTTAATATCTAATTGATAAACTTTGCTTCAGACAGTGTTACACTACCGTTATTGAACAGATTGAATCAAGACAAGGCTGTAACTGTTTCAACTTGACCATTTCGGATACTAGTATTCTTTTAGAGTTGCGTACTTTTCATATTCGAGCTTTGTAATATGGTTGCAACAAATAAAATTGATGTGATGGCTGCCTGAGCGTCAATGATAGGTTCTTTTACACTTGTTCAAGTTCCTTCTATCATCGTGTCTCTTCAGATATATTCTTGTCATTTCAGTTAAGCTCTGAATAGTGTTTCAGCAGTCAATGAGGCGTGGTCACCCCCTTGAAAATTCCATCCACAAAATACATCGAAACATATGGTATGACTTTGTCTTGGAGACTCGAAGAGTTTTTGTCATGAGCGTAGAGTATTATAAATCTGTCACCTTTCCTAACTATGCGGGGAGCCAAATTGTCCTATTCTGTCAACATTTTGGTACAGAGAGAGATGAGTGTATGTATCAACAAAATATCGATTGTTCCCAAATAAACATTTCATTCCCTTCAAATAGCTAATGTATACTTTACAAAATAAGTTTTATGTATCAACAAAATATCGATTGTTTCATTTCCTTCAAATAGCAAATGTGTAAGAGACTTCAAATCTTTACAAAATTGGTTTTCTCAAAATGGATATTAGGTTAAAAACACTTAGCTCCTAATCGATGTCAGCTTCTTTGAACAGGGGTTGGTAAAAACTCAAGTGTCGGAGGAACAAAGTTGAAAAGTTATTTTTATGCAGTTTCGGCCTTACAATAACACAACATTTTATTGTGAAAAGATGTCTCCAAAGATAAACCCTATTGTATGGAACATTTAAATGGATTGCAACCTTTTTTTTCTGTCTCCCTCGTCGGTGGAGGCTCAGTATTCGTTTGAACTGAATAGTTTAAAAGTCAACGAGATGAACGAACCATCTTTTAGTTATATACATGGATTGATTGACGCACTAGATATTCATGTTCTTTACTCTGTCCCATTCTCTATCTTGCTCGCTCAATACAACATTTGTCATATTAAACGTGACAAACATATTTGCAGCAAATAATGCATAAAATATAATGGAAAGATGTATAATTACTTTATATTGTCAGGCGTTGTGTTATATTATAGATAAGTCAGGTTTCAAACCGCATAGCGGATTTATATATTTTGCTATAGTTAAACGGATTTATTGTTTACAAAATCAACTTATCTTTTGTTTGTTCTATGTGTCTAGTTTTAGAATTGACGAACGTTTTGTTTGCTTAGTAATAAAATCTACTTAATAGACCACAACTGTGTTTAACTTTCCTTTACAGATCTTAAACATTTTGTAACGCAATATATCTTTCGCTTTAATTATCGTTTTTAAAGTTGAATTATTTACAATCTTTGAACAAATTTTGATCTTACCTTTGCGGTCGATCCACTTAGAAAAATTTGTCTTGATTACTTATCAGTAAATACCAGTTTATCTGCAAGTGACCGACTACAAATCAGACATGATTCTTAAATCAGCGATGTGAGACAAATGATCATAAGCTTAACTTTCGAGTCAACTGACAAGGAGTTATGGCGCTTCGCCGAAAATGGAAAAAGTCGCTATCGTTTCCTCTGTCCTCATTTTTTGTTTAAACTTAACTCAAAATATATATGAATATGAACTTAAAACTTCAAATATGGATAACAATCATTGCAAAACAATACTTCTTTCCCTTATTTCTTTTCAATTACTACCTTTTAATATGATTCACAATTGATGTCCGTAGTAACTCGAAAAGTACATTTTTAAAAATGTTTATATTCATGTTTTAAGTTTTTCCATAAATATATTTAGATTTAGATCTCAAATACTAAGAAAGGTATGCTCTGGATAAACTTAAAGCATGAAAAATGCAAATGGCAATTACTCAAAACTTTATGCATTGTACTCCTCCTTAATGAGACATTTTCAGATCAAAAGGTTCAAGATGATATATATATATATATAGCAACTTGAATTCTTAATAAGATAGAGTCAAGACTACACAATAATGACAGCCTTGTACTTCATTCTTTCAATATTAATGCCCTTTACTTCTTTCCTTGCAAAGTTTTGTAAGAGTCCTAAATTATAAGGTACATGAGATATCAACTTGAAACTTTTGATATACTCTATCAACGTTTAAGATATATAAATTAGAAACTCCATTGCCAGTAGGTTTTTGTTATATCAACTTGACAGTCTATATAGATGAATTGATCTTATTTAAGTCGCATTACCTAATTCAAAAAAATGTATGTCGTTATTTTTTAAATTCTTAATCAACTTAATATTTCAGATATCAACTTGAAATATCATCAAGTTAAATGATCTAAAAGAAGATAAGTGAAGTTTTTGAAGAATTCAAACTTGACACATCATTCTCCTGAAGTTACTGCCCTCTATTTTTGCATATTTTTGGCAGGTTCGTAAAAAAGTATTTGAAATATCAACTTCAAACGTTATAATTTTAAGAAATATTATTTTGAAACATCATTGAAGTATAGATCACAGTGATGGTAAATTAGGTGGATAAAACAACTTCATAATTTCAAGTCATTGCCCTTTATTATTTTTCATGCTTCTATGCGATTTGCAGTTTCTATTACTCATAACGCTTAAGAGAATACCTATTGAAATTTCTTCGATAAATAGCTCATGTCCAGAATTAATACTTTTCGAGTGTTTGCCCTCTCACGTGTTTATAAATGTCTGTGTGTTCAAATGTACTTTCCTCATAAATTGTCTCCTGTTTGGGGGCAAGGGGGGATTTCTAGTGTTACATGATTCATATGTTTTGTTGGAAAAAATCAACTAATCATTTGTGCGATTTTTGTTGAATTATAACCCTTCACATACTTTCGAAATGATAAAATGAATATGGACACATTCGTGTAAGTAGGACTTAAATACCTATAATCAACGTATCAGTAATGCCTGCTCATACCGATCTCGAAGATATTTTTTGAAGAAATTAAAATGAAAAAGTGTAAATGTAATTAACAGACTTACCTATACTGCCTTGAAAGAGTATGCCTTACTAGATCTTCTAGTCACCGTAATCAAAACGTGTGTCCACAGGGAAGCGTTTTTGGTATATTGAGCCGTTCCAAGCAAATAGAACAGTCGAGAGAAATTTGTTCTAGTATAATTAACCGTTAATTAAATTTAACCTTTGTTATCACTAATGAAAATCGGCGGCTATGTTTTCGAAACTACTACCTTATATTTTAAAACAGATGTTTCTACTTAACACTAAATTCAACACTAGATCTTTACCATGAAGATGTATACATTTGTATGCTGTAATAAACCTTATCGGTAAGCAAATAAGAATTTGACCTTTGCACTTTATCGAAAATTATTACTCAACAATAAAGACGTTTGTGTATTTGTCAAAAAAGTAACATGTTTCGCAGGGGTTGATATCATTATCATAATTTAAGGAGAAAATTTTACTTTACTGTCAGACATCGAACTTTTTTAAGAAAATATCTTATTTTAATGTGGTTGCAGTAGAAATGTTTTGAATAACAGAAATGACCAGTTAGCGACAAGATAATAGTACAATTATCAACTACACAAAGTTTAAACCTCCAACGTTTCGAGGGGATAAAAACGTTGGAGGTTTAAACTTTGTGAAGTTGATAATTGTTATTTAAATGTTTCCAGAATGATTTTAAGATAATAGTAGTATATGTGTGTATAAATCACAATGGATAAAAAAGGGAGTTTTACTTAGCAATGTCATGTTGAGGTAACATAAGTCTTGCAATTCACATGATACCTTCTGGGTGCCTCAGAAGAAATCACAAATATAGTCTGTACTTCTTTGGAATAGAACTACCCACAGCTTCACAAGACATTTTCATTTGCTTTATGGTACTCCAGCAATAGCAAAATGTTGCCGTTTGTTTTCCACTAAGCCGCCTGAAGCCGCCTGTATAATTTGATAAAGTATTGGTAGAATTTAAACCTATATGTATGAACTATGAATAACCGTATATTGTCTTGAAAGACATCACTATAGAAAATGTGTCATTTAACACTACGTTGAATCTACAGACATGTTAGTTCAAACATGAACATTCTAGATGTTTAAACAAAAGTGTTACAATCAAAGTTGAAACTTGTTCACTGAGAGATAGATCAACGGGACAAAATAAAATTATACATGATCTATTAATAAAGTAATACACACAATCAAAGTCTTCTTGTTAGTATCACGAAGTCAAAATGTAATAAGCGGGAGTTTACTCAAGCACCGTCCTGCTTTTTCTTGAATGATTGATACTGAGCAAAACAATGTGCATTAACAAAAACCATAATGTACAATTTTAGCCTTGCTTATATGTATGCATAGTATCTTTTGGTTTTATATAGCTTCTGAGATCTATATATAACCCTAGCTAATCCTTGAATCATACAAAATTATTAATCTATATTCTCTTTTCTAACCCGTCAGCAATTTTATAATACTGCACTATTTTGACGTCGCATTTCATTGGATAAATGTTCTATATACATGGCTGCGTAAATTTACGAAGAAATCTTTTTCTCTAAAAAGGAGGTTTGCTATTTTATAAATTCGTTATAAAGATTTCTGACAGGTTATGGTGTATATAAACGGTTGTTTGCAATATGAATAAATATATGCAAACAACCGTTTATGTTATTATTTATAAAGATTGTTGACAGGTTATATGGCCCTATATAAACGGCTTTTTGTAAATATAACCCGAGCCGCTAGGATATATATATATGCAAACAACCGTTTATGTAGGGTCATATAACCTGTCAAAAATCTTTATAGCTAATGATATACATTCCTGAACAGTTATTGTGTTGTAAATGATATCCAACAAATATTTGTGTCTTTTTGAACATGTAACTTTTCTGAAAATACTTACATTCATGTTCTTTTTATAATACTACCTGCATAAAAAAATATTGATTTCAAGCCTTGATTGATAACATGTCGTCGAATGTTTTTAAACATTCTAAAGAAGGAACCTTGTTGTAATGTTGTTAAAATATTCGTCGTAAAGATTTAAATTATGTTTTCTAAGTTGCCCCAATTATATCATTCACGATAATAAATTCGCAAATGAAATTCATCATTCATTTAACAGTGATAAATAAGCAAGGTATATATATTTTGAAAGTTATTAGAAGTGTAACAGAAACATTTGGTTATAACGTCTTTATAAAAGAATATTATTTACATCAGACGATTAATAATAATACAAAAAACATTGTTTCGAATAAACAGTTTTAGTTTTGGTAAATAAGGTTTCAGACAAGTATAATTGTTAGCAAATTTTATAAAAAATCCAAAACTTTGACACCAGACTTTCACACAAGCAACTGCTATTCAACTGTCGTTTTAAGATGTCATTTTAGTACATGCTTTTTAAATTGGTCTCATGAAAATTGTCTTGATACGCATAATTCATCATATCTGAACCCCCTATAGATATGTATAAATTGAGTTCAACCTCATGGTACTTGCGTTATTCTGGTTTCATACCCTGCTACTTTTGGAGAGACTCGAAGGTGTCTCATTGGAGGTTCCTCCATCACCGCCTAATGGACGGAACGTCAGATGTAACTAAAACATACATTACACTTTTTTTCTTATTTTAATGTAGGAAGTAATGCTGTAGCTGGTAACTGAAGCGCTGTGTAGATCTATACGAATAGTATATTAGTGTGGATTCCGTCTGTCTTATTTATTGAACGAGTTGAAGAACATGGTATCGGGCGATATTCAGAAAGCAAAATTGCTACTTTAGTTGGAAAAAAATATCGAGTTTCTTACTCAGGGATCTTTTAATAATAGAACAGCTTCCGTAATAAATTTGAAAATCCGGAATTCTCATAAAATAAGCTACCCTTTCGTTCTACAGTAATTAGAGAATAATTCACGAGATCAGTAAATTATGGATTTAAAGTAAAAAGTCTCACAGGCCTTCTTATTTCAAATACCCTTGAAATTAGAGCTGGTGAGAAATTCAAGGCTGCGGCTGTATCTAAATTTGCCTGATTAAATGTTGAATTTTGCCTTAGCCGCTGCTAGGGCGTGGACGGAACATGCACGGTAACATGCACTTGCCAGTACCATCCATGGACAGGCTCAAATCAAACCAAGCCTACAACATTTTCTATTTTGTCGTTTTGGACGTTTTTTGGGATGCTTTTTTCTATTTTATCCTAACATCAGAGTAATTTGTAACATGCGTCGACAGTAAAAGGTCAAACATATAATTAAAGACGTTATATCTTATCCTGAAAGATCGTTCAGCGTGACATATTTTTTGCGTGCAAGTTTATTTTTAGTTTCTTCTTCTATGTAATCTTTTTTATTTACGTTTTTCCAGTATTCTAGCCAGTAATGCTTCGGTACATGTTTGCACTTTACTCCTTATTGAAAGTTTGGGAACCGTAGGTTATGTAACTCGCAGTTGTCTCCTTATAAAACTGAATTTATAAAAATAATTATATATATTTCAAGTCGTCATTTATTATATTCTACCAAATGTTCTATACTTGCTATATCGAAGATCCCGGTGTTTTGTGTATAGATAACAGTAAATATCATAAATTATTTGGCATTAAATGAGCCGTCATAGTACTCCACTAGTCGACAAACAAGAGGGTGAAAATCATCAATTCAGTTAAATAGTGGGAGATTACCGAGCAATTTATATCTTTTTAAAGTAATTAAAGTTGATTACATGAACGCTTATTTGTGTATCATATTCTAGAATATTATTCACATCTGACGATTAATGATAACACAGCACGCATTGTTTCTATTAAACAGTAATAAGCTTACACCAATTTATCCAAATCGCAATAATTATCTGTTTGATTTATGTTCAAAATCCCCAATACGCTCTCTAGAAACATTTTCAACTTTTACCATGTTTTTCCCCGAACCGTTATGACATTTTTGTAACATGGTAAAACATTCGATTTTTTTAGCGAAAGTAATTTTGAGGAACATATGCAAATAATTTACACATTTTATTGAATTACACTGAAAAGTAAAGTATTTAGTTTTAGTTAAAACGTACTTATAACTATCTTTAAGAGGTAATATTTAGGCTTCAGCTGCTTTAATAATCGTATTTGAGCTAGTCTATAGCACCTTAGATATATCATTAACTCTGGTATCGGCTGTTTTTGTAAGCGCAATTACATCTTAAAACAGCTTTACAACAACTTAATAGACATATAATGCATTTGATTACCTCGTTAATTACTTTAATTAGATCTACGTGCAGTTCTTCCTGATTGATTCATAGGAGATAGATAAATTGTCATCATTAATCTTGAGTTATAGTGATAGATTTCATAATGAAAATTGATAGTATCATTTATTAATTCTGTATCATTTATTAATTCTGAAATTCTCTCTAAAATGTGTACAATTTGTAGTTGGTATTGTAATAAACCATAGAATACCATTTGCAGTCCTTTCGTACAGCACTATATAAGCATTTTCTACTTGTATGTTGCAAACACCTGACTTAATTTATAAAATATAATACTAAATTGGATGTAGAATTTACAGTTACAAAAGCTTATTACCATTTGACACAATCAGCAAGTTCTAAACAAAACAACGACATAAATTATACTAAAAGGTCTCATTAAAAGCTATTACTCTGATGATTCTTTTCCGCAATAATTAAAAAGATTAAATAAGTTATCATCGTATTGTGATTCTGTATGAACATTTATTAAGAAATCTTTCTATCATAAAATTATCATTAAAAAAACAAATGTAGGTACCTGATTAAATATCTTAATCATCAAAAATAGCAACTTGTTATATATTTACAAAGCTCTGAACATCAAGTCAACATAATATAGAAATCAAACATAATTTGTACTTTTACTGTACTGAATTAACCAGTCTCCATACCCAAAGAAATTTGGTTGCAGATGTTAATAATTTACTTATGAGAAATGGATTTGTGCAAATTTTGTTTGCTCAAAGCATACTCAATGAAAAGGTATTCATTTCACAATTCACTATTAGACTTTAGGATCAGTATCTTTAAACTTTGTATTTTGATGTAAGAAATAGTTCTAAACATTTTCGAACATGAAATATATTTTAATTATGTAACAGTTAAAAAATCAGAAATACATTGGGTATGCCTTTGAATTTTGCACGTGACTTAGAAATAGAATGAGAGACAGATATTCTTACTATAAAAGAAATCAAAGAATATGCAAACGTTGTAATACAGAGACTGACACTAAATTACATTTTGTCAAAAATTTCCCAGATTAACCCTTTTTAGAGAGAAACATATTCCATGTAAGTTCAATCAGTCCCCTAATGTTAATGAATCAATACTTTGATGTCATCTCCATATGTGCATATAATTATGAGTTTGGCTGTGTTTGCATATTGTGTTTTTCAAGAACCTGAAATGTTAATGAATGATATTGTTTTAACGTTTAATTATGTATGAATCAACACATTGTAGATGGTATATACCATACCTATATGTTAAAAAAGTTTGATTTTTATCACTTTATATACATTTAAACTAGTACTTTGTAGTAAATTGGTATTTGATCAGTACTACATCATGCCATGTTTGTTATGTACAAGTTTTGTTGATATGGGCGGGAGGTCAAAATCGAATAGATCTTTTGTAATTGTCATTGTAAAAATAAAATTTTGCCTTCCTGATCACATAACGTTTCTTTGACTGATCTCCAAATTTTTATTACACTGTTCAAGGAATTTACGTCTCACTGTTCACAGACTTTATGCCTTGAGGTTATGCCGTGCTGTTTCGGGATGATTTATGTCTCAATTCATAGAATGTGCCAAATGTTTCACTGATTAAAAATATGTACCTCATTGATTACAGAATGTTTGTATCATGGATAACAGAGTACGTGTCTCATCGATTTAAGAATATAGGCAACACCGTTACAGAATGTATTCCTCAAATACCACAGAATGTTTGCCGCAATTATGACGAAAGGTTTGCCACAACTATCACAGAATGTATTCTTCAATTATCACAGAATGTATTCCTCAAGTATCACAGAATGTTTTCCGTAATTATCACAGAAGGTTTGCGCAATTATCACAGAATGTATTCCTCAATTATCACAGAATGTTTGCCGCAATTATCACGGAAGATTTGCCTCAATTATCACATAATGTATGCCTAAATTATCACATAATGTGCAAAGATGTATGTAAAATATACGCATCAATGAAAATATATTTCATGCCGTAATACAGCTAACAATGTGCAGAGAAAAATGAAATGAAATGAAAAAAAAAACAAATGTGTGCGGATATATTCTTTCAAACAGTATCCAGTACCACAGGAAAATGAACAAAATGCAGAAATAGCACCATAGTACTCTAAACTTTTGCAATTCTATGGCAGAAATGAGCACCAAGGTATAGTATGGTTTTATTGACCTGTCAATTATAAATACATTATAGCATTAATTTACATATTACATCCCACTGCGGTTGTGTCCGTGTAGTTTAAGAGAATTAATATGAAGTAAATAACTTATTACTTTTTGAAAAGTCACACCAGCTTAGGGTATAGGACGTCGTCACATCCGCAATAGCGCATTCGGTTTAGTGATTGTCTAATATTTAGGAGGTCTGTGGTTCGACCCCAATTGTTCCCTTCTCTTTTGTTTTTGCAAAAATATTTTAACGGAAATATTGGCTGCCAATTAGTCTACACGGATATTAAGCAATTCAAAAACTCTGTTTTGTCTCGATTTGTATTGTGAATCCGTAAAATATTACTTCTTTAACAATGTTATTTCAAAAGAGTATAGACTTCAAAACATAATAATTATTAATACAAAACAAACAACATTAAAACAATCATAGTCTAAATAATGTTTAAAAAAGAGAGAAAAGAAAAAAAACATGAACATTCGCGGTCTCGATCTTACTTCATGTGGAACATTCATATACCGGTATTATAAACCCGTATAATCAGTATGCAAATGACAGTTAATAAAATTAAACAATAAGTAAATGAATCACTATATTTTAGAATAAATTAATTGAAAATATTATGCGCATACGGTTGATTAAAAATAATTTGTAAAACATAATGTAACATATTTCCAAGATCATTCGTGAGGATGACGACCTGGTTAGCGTAATAAAGGCGATTTGTGTGTTGCTAATTTTGATGTGTCATATTACACATCAATTGCACATATATGAACTTTATATATAACATCAAAACTTGTGAGTCGTTAAAAAGATATGATGGTCTATTGTTAAATGATATATGATAACAATTATAAACAGTAAGTTTATTAGCGTTTTTTTTTAAATTTGGGATGGGGATGTTAAATATAAACTTTATTTAAACCAATCAAAATGCTATTCAACCCTTTTATTGTTCAGTTATCCATTCATCCATTGTCGTTTGATGCAGACTGTTTTCAAAAAGAATGTTGTCGTGGGTTTAGGTGTGTCAAACGTGAGTATATCACTGACAATAAGATCAAAATGATATACAATCAATCAACCTTTGTCTGTGATGACGAGAAATATTCACAGAATTGAGACAAACGGAATCCCTAAAAACGCTCAAAAACGACAAAATTAAAAATGTTGCGGGCTCGGATCATAGACGAAACTGGAAAGTGCAAGTTGCCTTCCATGCCCTTGCTCGATCAAACGTATGTAGTCTTGACATTTAGCGAGGTAAATATCCTGCATCTCCTATAGATGATTAAACGATTGGAAAAAAGAAGATAAGAATATATGACAGACTCCTTTTTAACAAGATGAGTCTTATCATTTTACATATAATAAGTGTAATCCTTTTAATATCTACCATAGAAAGCGACCCAAGTTTCCATACAGTACACTTAGACTTCATTCCAGTTATGATTGATAGATATTAATAGAATTAGATTAAAAGGAACATTATAAGTATTGCGATCAAAACTAAAATGTTCTTCTGCAAGGTTTAAATTATGCTCAAATAAATGATAATGTGTGTGCCACTGTATATCATTCAAAGTATATCTTGGCATACAAATTATATTCAATGTCAAAAATTCCAAAATGTAAAGTAATATTAACATTAATTGCATATGAAAAACAACATTTTCAAAACAAAATAATTTTAAATCAATATATTTATTTGTTTATTCACAAAAATCGGAACATTTTGAATATGTAAAGAATACATATTTGTTCTTTCTTATAAAACTTGTTAATCACCAAAGTATTTATTTTTTGTATTTAGCGAAGAATTAAAGCGTATTTTATGTTTGCTTATAGAACACATATCCAAAACTTGATCACAATCTGAATTTTGACCAAGTTACTTTCTTTTTTTACTTTCCATTTTAAATGCTTGTCAACAGTGTGAGATTGTTAATAGCACTTTGAGGCTCTTTTTGATCATGTTCTTGATCAATATGTCAGATGTTTGATACAAATACAACTGAACCAACGACAACAACCATTTCACAAACGACTGCTTCAAATGACAATACATGACTTGGTTACTATTGAGGAACTACGAACGGGTCGAAAAGCATTTCGATTTCTTTTCAATCATACATATGAACTTCATAATTATAAAAAAAATTCAAATTTTTAAAACCTTGTTTTCATTTTATTGACATGGCGTCCGCATATGTTTTACCGGAAACCAACATACCTTTATAACCGATGCATATTTCGGTGTACTGTATGAATGTGGTCCTGTGTGAATTAGCAGATGAATTGTGACTAAGACATTGTTTAAGAGTTAAACCCATTTCGTCAATAATACACTGAAGTTACGCTGGTTAGCTCATTAAAAGTACCTGTGTCTGCTTCCTTTATGTATTATATGACAGGAATATCAAAATAATGAGCTTTCAAATATGTACTTATACACAAAAGTCTTAACAAAGGTAGGCAGGTAATCATTTCATGAATGATCTCAGAAAGTTAACATATTTCTTGAAATATTTGTAATGCTGATTAAAGTATAATGTCATGGCAGCTGTTTGAACTTATTAGTTTTTTTTTTAATTAAATTTAATCAATTATTTTCCTCCGTGTGCTTACCGTGTTACTAGTTTCGACATAGCTTTCCACAGATTGAGGCGTTACTTTTAAATGAATTTCTGCTTTATTGTCACATTCCTGCGTTACTGGATATATACGGTGGTATAGTTACAAAATACATAGTTAAAAACATGGAAAATAAAATGTCACAAAAAGGTACCGAACTTTAACCAAAAAATGTTTTAGTCAATTGACTCACAAAGAACGTAACCAGAGAAAAGGATAAACACTACAAGCCCAATGTAATCCACAATTGTGAGTGTCAGAGCAAAATTGATAAAATGTTCATCCCAGAACCTTACAGAGCCGTGGCATACATTGTTAAAATTGCTGAAGTTTCCAAAAATATACGCCGTTCCTGAAATTGAGTAAAAGTAAAAACATGATTGCGTATTACACCAAATAAAAGCCTTCTTGTTCCTTACTAAACATAAACGTTTAATTCTTGATATTTTTATGATAATATTCGGAAAAAAAAAGACATTGGATTTCAGTCGCAATCGTTGATGGCAAAAGCTGTAATAATGATGGAAGCTAATATTATACATTTGCTTATAAATTGATCGTTTGTACTTTTGTATTAAGATTCAAATGCGATAGTATTCAAGCATTATCTAAAACTTAAAACAAATGACTTTATTCCACGTACCAACACATAACCAACAAAAAGAAAATAACAAATCTAAAAATGTGTATGCTTCTATACAAGGGTTGTTCAGTATTTCTTCAGTATTTCTTCTGCATATCCATAAAGTATGTGCTCCCCAGAAAATGACAGCAACACAGGCCTTAACAAACAAGTATACTGCAGCTTCACGTTCAAGATCACAGTTTGATGACATCTTCACTGCCCCTTTCATGAAAAGTAAGAAAAAATATGCTTAGATACATTGAAAGTGTTAGAATAATCCATATTGAAAATTAACTTTTCTCTTAATCAAATTTTAAAAAAAAGTTATAAAATTATATAATATATTCAACACAGCAAGTATAGTTGAATATATATAAGGTATATCATGTTATTTTTCGGTACATTTGCAATCATCTTTTTCTGTTATTTTAACTTTCAATGTCTTTTTATTATTTATAACATGCTATTTGACTTCTTTCCATTTTTCTCAGTATGCTTAGTAACATTTTAAACTTTACTATGTCATAATCAATAAGTACCTGCAACGAATCGGCTGAAGGTAACAAGTGAGAAAATAGCAATTAGCACTTTTGGCACTGAAATAGATTATTAAAGCATGTGCAATGTAAAATAGGGAAAATACGAATCCCTAAAGAAAGTTAAAATCACCAAAATAGAAAATGTTTCAGGCTCGGTTTGGTTGAGCAAACAAATGCCCTGTTAAGTGCAAACTACCGTCCACGCCATCAAGCACCGGTTTAAGACAACTCATTACGTCATAACATGAAGATTGTGAAATTTTGAATTTAGAAACATCCGCAGATGTGTTCATACCGCGGTTATCATGGAATATTTAATGAGACACTTCAGTGCGATTCAATGAATAGCGGCGTATGGTCCTGTTGTACAAAAATGCGTGTGTAACACAACTACAAACCATTGTTGGTATAAAACAAAATAAGATAATGTTTGATTTTCAAATAGCTGCAAAAGCTAATGAAAGAATCTTGATAAGGTCGTTTTGAACTTTCTTTAAACATAAAAGGTAAAACATTATTTTTTAGATATATTGGAAACTTTTTTATACATGTAAATTAAGTAATATCTTTACAATAATGCTTTTTTTGGAACATGCAATATTGATAAATCTTCATTTACGCATCATATTACCCCCATCGGGACAGGACCAAAGTTGTCTTAATGGCGGAGTGGATTGAGACTGGTCTGATTTGAGGATTTAATTATTATTGCTTACGTACTTTATAACCATGATGTACTCTAGTCATTTTGTATGAACATAAACCTACAAGTACAATATAAAATTATGTAAGAGAACAAAACATACTTCTGAAGAAGTCTTATTCCAGTATCAATCATTATATGATGTACATAATCACCTATCATAAAAGAAATTAATTCTTCACAAAATAAATGTGCTGAAAGCAATATATAAATAACACATGGGTTTGTGGGTAACCGTAAAAATATCATCCCGAAAAAAATACTGTTACCCGAGGCGTAAGACCGAACAAATCGTTTTCAACTAAAATTTCAACTAAATCTAACTGTAACAAAACTGAACCAAAAGTAACAATAGCTCAACTATCCTTGCAAGTTGAAAAGAGCATGTGACTAGATTTTTATACTGTTAAAAAGTACTTTTACCCTGTAACAGTACAATTGTCTTAGTCACAAGGTACACTTCAACAGTAAGAATAACTCCCAAGGGCCTATGGGAAATTAACATTACAAAAAAAACGTGAGGGGTTAAATTACAGTGACTCTAAATTTACTTTCTCAACATATTTCATACAATAACAAAATAATGACAGTTTTTTTGGCACTTTGTGACATCAAATGTCATTCCTAAAAGCATTAAAGCAGATACAAGCAATTAATTTGTTACCTTCGTAGGTGTTGACTTTAACATCAATAATAGGGTGTTCAAAAACGAATAAAACAGGGACTGAATCTGGTAATCTTAAAAGTTGATAAGCAGACTGGTCTTAATTCTGGATCAGGTAACCATTGACATAATTACTCGCATATACCATAAAATTCCTTTTTTTAATATGGTTTTAATAGTTGATAGTCTTAGATCCAGGGTAGTCTTTAGTTGGGATTCTACTGTATATGTAATATCGGATCATCTCATTCTTGCTAAAAACTTCCATATAAAGATCGCTCGTAGTCTGTTCGTATGTCTGATACTACATTGTAAATACTTTTAACGTAATTATTCATTGTATTTCAGACCTACCATTACAGAAGACCATTCACGTTTAGTATTATAATGGAGATAATTAAAAAACTAATGATGTTGAGTAATGATTTTTTAGTTTCAATGAGATATCATTAATGGTTTAAAAGTTCTACTCCTGACAAAAGTGTGGCGGACTGACGGACGAAAGAAGGACGACAGGGGGCAGGGACGGACAAGGCGGCAACGATATGCTTTCCTTTCAGGAGCATGACAAGGATATGGTGTATTCCTTGTGTTAAATGTATTGAATCACACCTTATGCCATTAGTTTAAAACTACACCGTAATGATTCGGTGTATAGGGAAATTTAACACCATACAGTTGTTTTTGTTTTCTGATGATAAAACATAAATGATAATAAAACTTTTATACTCAATGATTAGTTTTAATCTTGATTAATGAAGAATGTTTTGAATAATTATGGCATATGTCATGCAATTAAATATATGTCATAAAACTGTACGATCCAACTTAAGTTTATGTCAACTGGTAACTTCTTTTAAAAATCAGATATTGACAACATAAACACACTCATCAAGAAACAATATATACTTACATGACCCATAATCATTCAAAATAGCATGAACAACACGCTGTTTCTTTCGTCTAATTCTACCTTCAAAAATAAAACAAAAATGTTAAAAGTTAAAAAGAATCTTTAAAAAATTAGATAACTTTGAAGCAAACACTACTATAGTAGTTTTTTCAAGCATTATTTATTATATACGAGTTTCACCCCTAGTTAACAGAAGTTGGTACATGCTTAATTAATTAATTCAATAATTTGAATGAAAAGTGTTGCACTTATATTGCTTGCAAATTTTTTTCTTTTAAAATTTTCTCGGTCAAATTATCTGCTTCTTTCGTGCTATTCCAGCTTTAATGTTTTGATTTTATATATATAAGTCAGCATCACTTACTTATTAAACCACGGTTCACGTGATTCTCTCTTTCTTGTTGTTGTCTTCTGTCTATATTTTGTGCTTGTCTTATGTTGTTAACATTAACATTTTGAGCGTTCGACCATCTAAATTGAAAATTATACATACAGCAGTATATAAACAAATTTAACTCAAAGCAAAACCTTTTATAAATAATAAATATGAATTAAAAACAATAGGACAAAAAGAGTCGTGAGAAAAAAGCAATTTATCGTAACTCTTTGGCAAAATGCCAGAAAGTCAATTTAAGAAGAAAATATTCATGGTTTTAATAATCGTCTGACTATTTAATACAGAAATATTGTTAAGTTGTTAACTGAGACCCCCTTATACTTTTAATAAACAAATATAAACAATGAATCAGTAATTTATACATTTAACAATACAGGAATCGTTATTCCGAGCTTTACAGACTAATGTGTAATAATAATGCGTTCTTTGTTTCAACATTAACTGATATCATCATTATCTTTAACTTGCTGGTATGTTAAACAAGTATGTTCAACATCTTGATGATCTATAAAACCTTTTAGGATGTACCAGACTGATGTTCTGTTCATAGATGGAAACCAACTTCTTAACATTTATTATTTCTTAATTAAAATTTCTTATTTAAATCTTACATTTGCATGGCAAGCTGGTGTTCGACTTCTAGTTGTTGCTATAATAAAAAGCAGAGGATGTGATTAAATGTGATATATATGATAAAAACATAAAAGAAATATTACTGGAGAAAATTGAATCTAGATAGCATTTGTGAAAATACGCTATGCCTCCGGATTTATACAAAAATAAAATAGCAGGAACAGAAGGATTTTTTTCATACAATTAAACAATATTGTGTATTGAATTTAGGGGTCAAGGTCAGATGTTTACAAAAAGCTTAATTATAATTATTGATTCAAATAAAATATTCTTACTTGATAAAACTTAAGACATTAACGTCGCTGTATTCAACTTAAAAAAAAAAAGTTACAGTTATTTTTCATAAATACTATCTTTTCAATTAAGCAACATAAAAACATAAAAAGAAGTATCTTTAAAAAAAAATACTGAAATCAAAATCTTAAAAACAATTTGGAAGCCCTTCACTCAAGGAACAATACTGGCAAGTTTAATTGAAATCTTACTTATGGTTTTTAAGAAAAAGATAATTTCAATGTTGACAATATAACACTCGCACACACGCTGAATTGCTCTTTTTGGGTTGTTTATGGTTTCATTTATGGTAAATACAAAACAAACCAAATGTTTGCAAACCTAATACTAAATTAAAACTATTCGTAAACATAAATATAATATTTAGAGAGGAAACATTCTATAGAAGTTTTAATTCACATTTTAATTTGACAATTAATTAAGCAAGACTTATTTTCAATGATTTTGCAAACTGTAGATTTCATTGACTGCTTTTGTTATCTAACGTTAGGAATTAACATTAAATTGTGTTTATTGTCGAACCTACCCGTATCATACTATCAAGCACGTTGTCCGGGCTATCGACAGTAGAGGAGACAGATGGTATACTAAGTGGACTGATAGCATTAATGTTACTTGAAGTCGCTTGACGATAGCGGCCAATGTGTCGTTGGGCTCGAGTTCTACCGTTGGTAGTCTCCGATATATATGGTACACCAGGAAGAGTGTCAGCTCTTATTATTCGTTGTACATCATAATTTGTGTTAAAACCTGCTGCACCAGATGATGGTATCCTATGTATGGCTCGACAGTTGGGACACAGCATATAGTCTTCTGAACTGGTCAAAGCATAGATATAATAACATGAATTACATTATTCAATAAAGTACATTCTTTTAAATAAATACTGTATGTTTGAAGAATCCTGTGGCATAATTGATACCATTTTAAAAAGTAATCTCATTTGTTAATAATAATAATGATAATGGGAACACAAATAAAAATGTTTATTATGAAACTGACGATGATAAAATTTACATTTACTATCATAATGACAATGGTACGGTGGCACAAAGGTGACATGTGTGTGTTTTTATTTATTTCGTGGCCACGAGATACTATGTCGTGGCCACGAGTTACTAAAATATGACAAACAAGACCGACAAGGAAAGGCGGCATCCAACGAACGCAGCCCCCACCCGACCCAGCAACAAGCGCCAGCGGCAAGGAGCCCAGGAGGACCCCAAAGAAAAACCGGACAGGGCACAAGGCAGAGTACGGGCAGGCAAACCACTACATCAGAATACATAATTATTAACTTATAAGGAACTAAAACAAAACAAATAAATGATTTAATATAAGGCCCATAATGTCAAAAGGCACAGGGGAAGGGGACATGAGACACGGGAAGGGGGGGGGGGAAGGGGACATGAGACACGGGGAAGGGGGGGAGCTAAAGCTAAATTATTAACTAAGTCGTGGCCACGAGATAGCTAAGTCGTGGCCACAAGTAACTAAGTCGTGGCCACGAGTTACTTAGCCGTGGCCACGAGATAGCTAAGTTGTGGCCACGAGATACTATGTCGTGGCCACGAGTAACTAAGTCGTGGCCACGAGATAGCTAAGTCGTGGCCACGAGATACTAAGTAGTGGCCACAAGTTACTAAGTCGTAGCCACGAGATAGCTAAGTCGTGGCCACGAGATACTATGTCGTGGCCACGAGTTACTAAGTCGTGGCCACGAGATAACTAAGTCGTCGCCACGAGCCACGAGAAAGCTAAGTCGTCGCCACGAGATACTATGTCGAATGCCAAATGAGAATACACTATATATATTATGAATTTTTAGACTTAACAACTTACTTTTACATTAATCTTTGAAAATACTGAAGATAATCACTTTGAACTTGTCTTTAGGATCATATTAGAAAGTCACCTTCCAAAACCCATCAGACATTTATTTTGACTATATAAAAAGGTCTTGTTTATTATAGTGTCACCCCTACTGAAAGGGCCAGCCATTTTGACTTATGAGACACCTTTTGGTTGCATACCATGTACCTCCCAATTCCTACCACTATGCCAGGCGCCAGGCGGATAGAAATCGGTAACCATTCATTTTAACTACCTCGCGGCTCACGAAGCGGCCATTTCGGAACGAGTCCCACGAGAAACATTCATCCTTCAATTAACGCTCCCCGTGGGGCTCGAACCTTCGACCTCCCGATCCGAAGGCGGACGCCTTAACCACTAGGCCAACGGTACCGGCTATATATATAGCTCTTTGTTGGGACAATTTTGTGATCGAATTGGTCAGTTTGTACGTACTATGGCCTGTTAACCGTTTACATGATTACATCGGTCCTGGTTTATTTTATTTGATAGGGACATTGCCAATGGACAGTTGATAGCCTATAAGGTAAAATCCTTGTCTGATGAATAATTTAGAAGGGATAAGCCATGGTTTATATAACCCAGAAATATCATTGCACCTGATCGGTAGATGACATTTAATAATTTCGAGGTCATTGGGTAAAAAATCAGGGTCACATTGACGCTAAATGTAAAATTATTGACTAGTCAATATGAAGTATAAATGGCACTTTAACAGGCTGGTGAAGTAGGGGCATCCTTGTACTATAGCACATGTGGGAAATGTTATATAAACAATAAGTTTGTGATCGAATTGGTCAGTTTGTACGTACTATGGCCTGTTAACCTTGTTTATATGATAACATTGGTCCTGGTTTATTTTATTTGATAGGGACATTGCCAATGGACAGTTGATAGCCTATAAGGTAAAATCCTTGTCTGATGAATAATTAAGAAGGAATAAGCCATGGTTTATATAACCCAGAAATATCATTGCACCTGATCAGTAGATGACATTTAATAATTTCGAGGTCATTGGGTAAAAAATCAGGGTCACATTGACGCTAAATGTAAAATTATTGACTAGTCAATATGTAGTATAAATGGCACTTTAACAGGCTGGTGAAGTAGGGGCATCCTTGTACTATAGCACATGTCTAGTTAATTATGTAAATTCATATGAATGGTGTAATCTGATTGGAAATTTATCTCGTGGCCACGACTTAGCTATCTCGTGGCCACGACTTAGTAACTCGTGGCCACGACATAGTATCTCGTGGCCGTGACTTAGCTATCTCCTGGCCACGACTTAGCTATCTCGTGGCCATCACTTAGTAACTCGTGGCCACGACAAAGTATCTCGTGGCCACGACTTAGCTATCTTTTGGTCACGACTTAGCTATCTCGTGGCCACCACTTAGTAACTCGTGGCCACGACATAGTATCTCGTGGCCACGACTTAGCTATCTCGTGGTCACGACTTAGTAACTCGTGGCCATGACTTAGTTACTCGTGGCCACGACATAGTATCTCGTGGCCACGACTTAGCTATCTCGTGGCCACGACTTAGTAACTCGTTGCCAGGACATAGTATCTCGTGGCCACGACTTAGCTATCTCGTGGCCGCGACTTAGTAATTCGTGGCCACAACAAAGTATCTCGTGGCCACGAGATAAATAAAAACACACACACATGTCACATTTGTGCCACCGTATGTATGGTCATCTTCATTAAAGAATGGTTTAATCAATATCAAATAAATATTGAAAGACTTTGAATACTGCAAAAGAAACGCTTAAATGTTACCAGATGGGTACAATGTTTTAAGAACAATACGAAATCAGCTATAAATGTTTATTGATTTTATCTCTCCTTGACGTTCCTGATATATATTCACTCGAATGATTTTTAATTTTTCCTCATGTCTTTATAACTTATGATTCAAATTTTAAGGATTGTATTTTTTCAACAGTTTCGCATTGAACACACAATATGAAACTCAAATTCTGGCGTATATTTATGAAGGAAAACAACAGAAAAGGAAACGTTCAAGTAAAACTTATATAAACAATAAGTGTAATGGATTTCCAATCTTTGCATTTGACGTTTAAATGATATAAGGTACCAACAATATAGAGCCTTGTCAGAGTGTGCGGACTTTGTAATTTATTAAAATTCTTTTACGATAAGGAGCAAACATAATTTGGAAAATTGCTATACTTTGCAATGCTAAACTATATTCGAAATGTTAAAGGCACTTATTAGATGTAAGTTAAACACAAACTGATATCCATCGTGACTGATCTGTGCCATTCGTGTTTCGCCCTGCGCCCCGCCAAGTTTTTTCTGTTTGTTTGATTGTTTCATTTTACGCCTTTTCCCAACAGTATTTCAGTCATATAGAAGGGTAGTTTCCTAACCATCGTTCCTGGAGTGATACACCAGTACTAGACTACCTTCCTCCGGCCCCGAAAAGTGAAAAGTCTAGTTAAAATGGTAGGGGCGCGGAGCTAAACACGCTAATTAGCGGGGTCGCGGGCGAAGTTAAAAAGTAAAACGTCGCCGACCCCCGGGGGGTGCAGATTGACATTTAAGAAATTAAACGGCGGGGCGCGGAGCGAAAACAAACTTATTAGCGGGTGAGCGGGGCAAAGATTAATAAATAAAAATTCGCCCAGTGACCACGCTATTTTAGCGTGTTTTCAACCCGAGACCACGCCAAGTGAAAATTCTAGAATTAACAATAAATGATGGTGGTGGCGCGGAGCGAAAACACGCTAATCAGCGGGGCGCGAATTCATATATAAAACTTCGCCCCATTTTGTTCCTTCACCTCCAACAGATAAACTTTCTGCTAATATGAGCTACCCCTAATGATATGCCAACGAAACTGCTTTGCCTAGTGGTGTATCTTGTTTGGGTATTACATTTTTAACTATTTCTTTCATTATAGCAATCATTTTGACCAATGCTGTCGTTTTAGTCCTACTAGCCCTATACAGTGGGTCGAACATATAGCGGTGTCATACTTGTTAAAGCGGTGTGAAATGATGCGATACAAATTATTGGCAAAGGAAAGTGACAAATAATGTGGGTTAGAACCAGTTTGCATCAAATATTTGTTGTATGATGTAATGTTTGTTCGAATAATAAAATGCATGCTGAGCGGAAGATATATTTGTATATGATAGTCAAAATAAATAATCTATTTCATGGAGAAAGTACTTGAGGTATTTGAAGATATACTTCAAATGTCACCGGTAATCTTACATATTTATAAAAAGAATACATTAACAGACGTTATGGAACATATATTTAATTAGTCATAGCATCAACATGTTTACTATAAATAGCAAAATAAAATACACGAAAAGTTTTTAGCTATCTATATAGCTATTTCGCATATATCTACAATATTTTCTTATTTCTTACTGTACGCATGATAACTAACTGTACTCGACAATTTTGGCTCCTTACGATATGTTTTCATGATCTACTGAACAATATTATTGGCAATTAGACAATTAGATACTGGTATGATGAAAAGCAGTTTCATTTAGTGAACAGTTATATCATACTTAAATTATGCCTATGGTCAAAGCATTCAAAAATCGATATAAGGAAGCACAGTTCTAATTCCATGTACTGAAACAGTGGAATTTAGAAGACTATCTAGGTCGACATGTGTGTGTGTTCTTTAGTAAAATAGTTGTAGTGTGTGTGTGTGTGTTGGTGCGTGCGTGCGTGCGTGCGTGCGTGTGTGTGTGTGTGTGCGCGCGCGCGCGTGTATGTGTGTGTGTGTGTGTGTAAAAAAATAGTTTAGCTCTAGACAAAGCTTCCTACTGAAGATAGTGCCCCTTGATTTTTATGGAACTTTGTTTCGTTTTCTTTTAAAAATACTGTATGCAAAAAATCACATTTATTCATCCTTGATAAAATTATTTTCATTAACAT